TTTCTTATGTCTTTCAATGCCAAAAAAAACTCTAAATGCTGAGGTTTTTGTTGCTCTCTCTCTCTCTCTCTCTCTCTCTCTCTCTCTTGCACACATACATTCACATACACTCACATAAACACACATACACACACACACACAGATACACACTCTCACATACCCATGATGGTCGTCGAAAGGTGGTCATGCTATCTGTCTAATTATGGCTCGAGTAACACAAACGTGTTACCACCTCTTCGATAAACTCTGTGTGTGTGTGTGTGTGTGTGTGTGTGTGTGTGTGCACCAGTGTGCGTTTGACTCTAGAGTTTTCACATCAGCCACCTCATTTGAATTTTTTTCCTCTACTCGGTTCACTCTGAACAAATGTCACAATTGTACATATGACTTCGTATTTCCTATGCGCAATAACTTAACACTCTACCTACTCACGACCTTCGTTCGCTCTCTTACTTGTGAGAGATTGAGCGGCAAGAGAGATATCATCATCACGAGTATCGTGTTCTTGCAAATGAATGGTGTTTTGCGCTGCTTGTGAGTTATCGTCACCAGACTTGTTATGCATATCATTGAAATCGACATTTAAAACATCGTTTGTGTCAAATATACTTGGAAACTTGTGATCATCTTTCATTCTCAATACTTCATTTTTTCCCTTACTTCCCAAAAAATCTTGTCTTTCTCAAATTCTTCTCACGATCTTTACAACTTGTTTCTCTCTATCTAAAGGAATCACATTGACAAAAACCTTGTCGACTCTCGTCTTGTGTGTCGTGATGATGGCCTCTTCGATCCGCCTCATCTCTTGTGTAGCTTGAGCAGTTCGTGCAGGACGACTCTTGTTGTTCATGTGGCAGTCGAGCACCATGTAAGCAAAAACCAGTTGTTGAAGTGTGCAACCTCTTCACTTCAGTTCCTTGTAGTCTCTGTACATTACCTCGTCAATTACGCTCTTGAACTTTTCTGCACCCCATGGCTCACTACCTTTAACTCTCCAAGAAGAGTCTTCCATCATTTTCTTCCTCATCTCGTCCCGTTTTATCTTTAGGTGGTCTACTGAACTTCCACACGAATATGGAAGTCCCAGACCACTCCAAAACCCTCGAACAATGTCATAAGCAATCTCGCCTCTGATGTTCGTCAGCTCCCTCGAACCCATACCAGTAATTGTCGTTATTCCTTTCGATTTAACCACTCGATCAACTGCGCGTCGAACGTCTGCACGAAGCGTCCAACGAACTCTAAGAATGCATCAACGAAAGCAGATGGCGACGGGTACATTTCCGCATCTCCTGCACGTGTGAAACAAAAAGTCTTCGCCATACAGTGAAGCAATTGTTCCATCATCTTCATATCGGAATCAATGTCTTGCACATCTTCGCCTTCAAAGTTCTCACTATCACTCGTTGCTTTCAAGCCACGTGTTTGTTGTTCACGTTGTACTGGACAACATATAAATACAAAATATAACCCTGTGTTAATACTACTTTTCACATACTCAGTCTTTTTCAATTTCAATGTTGCAATATATATATATATATATATATATATATATATATATATCGTCAAATAGAACTGCCCGGTAAACCGTAGGCAGAGAGGGAGAAGAGGACAACAAATGAGGGGCTGTGACAAACTGTTTCGTCGGAGTTTCAC